GATCCAATACATTTAAAAAGCAATGATGAAGTATCAAATTTTGTTGGCCATATTTGAAGAAGAAGACAAGAGGCGAAAATACTTCAGATTACTTTAGATGGGCTATCTATCATTTTAAATTCACACATTTGTAAAAGTAAGTTTGAGGTTGATAACTCAACTTTTTTCTTGGATTTTATATTTGTGCATTATTTAAGCATTCTCATTTGTAATATCATCATAGAATGTATTATGAATTATGTGATGATCATAGAATATCTAGTTCTCTAGCTCTTATTCTCTTCATGCTTGTTAATTAGTAGAGGTCTGTTACCCCATAGGATTGACAAGGTAAGGCCTAGCCCCCCTTGCTTGGACTTATTTCTGTTGAGGATTTTTGTTTTAATAAAAAACTGTTAGATGCTAAAAAAAAAAAAAAAAAATCTTTTTTACTTCAACTTATATTAAGATACATTGAACAAATTGATAGTGTCAAAAAAATAATTACACTGGCATATTGTCTTCTTTATCTATTATTATAACAAATAATCGTCTTATTTTCAGTATCACAAAAGTTACTTTTTCTGAAAGTTATCTGTAAATATCTTTAATGTGATTTGATAACTTAAATATAAAAAAAAAAATTAAAAAAATACACTTTCAATGCATATAAAAGCTAAGCACATTTTTTTCCCGAAAAAGAGTAATAGATCTTTATACTATGAAATAAATTATATTTGTCCTATACTACTTTTTCAACATATTTATTATTATCATTCAATTTTGAAGTCATTAAATTTTAGAAATAGCAAAATAAAATTATATTAGCGCTCTATAGATATAGTTTTGCTATGGAGCCTCTGATTTGTATAAAATCACAGCGATTTGTATAAATTGCGGTGATTTGTATAAATTAGGTGTTTGTGTCTATGAAAATTGTGTTTGTATATGTATATGTTCTTTGTGTTAGACTAAAGTGGTGATCAAGATTAGAAGAGAGAGGAGAGAGGCGAGCGAGAGAGGGCAGAGAGTAGGGAGAGATGAATTGTATATGTATATCGGTTAGATAATTATATATATGTAACTACTATGTATATGTATCAATGATTAAGTTTATATCTGCATAAAATTTGAATTTGTATACAATTGAATCGAGTTAAAACATTTGTATTTGTATATCAAATCCCTCTCTCGCTTTATACAAACATAAATTGTACATTGTATTTGTATAATTTGTGTTTGTATAAAGTGTGTGTGTGTGAGAGAGAGAGAGAGGGGCAAAAGAGAATTGGGCATGGGAAGATTTGTATAATTATAAGTGTATAGGACGGAGAGATATGTATTTGTATTTGTATTATACAGTTTCTCTCGTTTTATAAAAACACAAACACAATTTATACATTTGTGCTTGTATAAAAGTGAAAGAGGTGAGGAAGAGAATTGAGAGTGGCGAGTGAGATTCAAGGGAGAGAGACGAGAATGGCAATGTGTTTGTCACGAATTGAAATGAAATGAAACTATAGTTATAACATTTATTTTAAATTAATAAATGCAAAATTTTCTCTATTTTTTATAATAGATTTGTACCTCAAGATGAGAGCAGATCATCCATGGTAACCAACTTTGATTAGGTTATCAACAGTGGCAAAAAGATGTCAAATATTTTGAAATAAATTTCTAAATGCCCAAACGACTGTTATATATAGTATTATTTGAGCGAGAAGGGAATTAATAAGTGAGAAAATAATTTGAGACGTTCACTAAAAGTTTAAGTAAAAGAAAATGATTATATAAAAATCTCATGTGTTTTATTTATAGATCTTATTATTTTATTAATCTCTCGTGAAGAATCATATAACAAAAATTATAACATAAATAACGAATTATAAAATCAAATCTCTCTTAATATTAAAGTCAAAGTAGGAAAATAAGACACATCAAAATTGTGTTTCTTGAGAAAAAAAAGAGTGGATATGAGGACCATAGACTAAATTAGTTATCTAGCCATTTTGAAATTTTATTAATGGTGTCGAGGGAAGAAAGATGTTGTTTGGTAGGAAATAAGTTATGTTGGGCTATTGCTGATGTTATTTTGTATTTTAATATTAGAAGTTTAAATATTAAGTGCATAATAATTAGTAGGCATAAAGTGGAGAAAGTGATGACATAATCTTTTGTAACTCATGTAACCACAATTGTTCTCCTTGTTATCTTTTACGAATTGTCTCACAATCCTCAAATGACTGTCAACATTCTTGACATTTATTTGTGGAAGGAATCCTACACGGCTACACCTATATAAATGATGTTTTTTCGTTGTGTTGAGCGTGTAAGAAAAGGTGATCGTGTAGTACTATAATGTGTATTGAGGTTAGTATTGTGAAAGAGAGTTGAGAAATAGAAAAAATATTCTTAGTCTTCAATTTATTTACTGGACGCTGTTGGATGGTCGAAGGGACAAGTCAAAAGATATATTATTGGATCGGTGTAGATTATAATTTATACTTCAATGAGTTTGAATCTCCTCATAGAGAATGAAATTTCCACGCCTTAACACGATAATTTATTGTAATTGTGGTATATACATCAAACAATTATTCTTAAATTGTTATCCCACCTTCTATGTGGGATAAAAATAACATTACAATCTCAAAATAAATAATTTCAATTTTATTCCAACCAATATAAAATAAACTTATCCTAAAGTTAATCTCGAAATTAATTATCCATTATCCCGAACATGAGATTAGCAAACCTGCAAAAGCATTACTGATGCATCACAAGTGCCGTGTGTAGATTTTTCTCTGCTTTTTAAAAAAGAGCAGCTTCATGTGACACATACAACTCGAACTTTTTCACTTTAATCATTCAGTATCCATTATATTGCCATTATAATCATAGAATTATTTGAGTGGGTCATTTTTTGCCACATCATTATTCATTGCAATAGTTCTAATTTATTTATTCTTTCTCCCAATAGCTTTTATAAAATCACAAATTTAATTAGTTGCATCTATATCAATATCAACATAACATAGAATTAAAATTATTCAAACTTTTAAGAGTAACATATTAAACCTATCTCATTTTCTAAAGTTACTCGTAAGATAAAAATCACCCAAAATCATATAAGAAGACAACATCGCATTCCTAGGATTTTTTAACTGTTTATTATTCCATCTATAATCCCATTAATTGTGGCCTTGAAAAGAACTTGTACTGGATAGAGTTGAGGCCCACATTTGCTATCCATACACCTATTATTTTCTTCTTTTGATAAAGTTCATCAAACCAAAACATTATAATTTACTATGCTAAAATGGAGAAATTGTACTCATTAGCATTATCAAATTTTTGACAGAATTTTCTTTTGATAAAGTTCATCCACTTATATATATACACACAGTAATAACCAGTGAATGTGAATAATTCAGAAAAATATGTTGCAAGTAAAACTTCATTGTAATGGAAACATGACCAAATTCTCTACTCAACTTGCTAATTGTTTTACTGATGAACTCCTGAGAAATGAAAATTACGGAGGAGCTAAAGGTGAACGATGTTCCTTGGAGCATCCATCATCGAAATTTTGAGAGTAACTGTAAGCATCATAGCTAAATCGAACAGAACTTCTCTGCCACGATAGAAGTTGCCTCCACTGTGACTTTAACCTCCAATATAACTGCCTAGCAATGTGAAGTGCTTTGAAACAATTAACCGGTGATCCTCTTTCAACACTAACCAGTGTAACATCACAGCTGCTGTGTGCAACTCTCCGTCTGTGACACTTCAACATCTGAATCATCTTTGAACTTCTCATCATCAAGATTTTTGACCTTCGCCTGCTTACCAAACATAAGAAAGTAGATAGATATCTGTTCGTTTTAGAGGACTTTGAAAATTACAAATTTAATGGAATGTGTAAAGAGGAATATAATGTATGTGCTTTTCAAGTGTATATATGCCATTTGTAGGCATCAGCTTCGTTTATATTGGATGTCCTTTTCATATATGCAGTGAGTGGAGGTGGTTCTCTCATATCAAATGCGACAGCTGTGTGTTGTTTCTTGTAGGGCCTGACCGTTCAAACTTCAAAAGGCTATTCCAATTGATGTAATGTCATTCTTTTTTGTAGTTAAGGCACTAATTAAGGGATTAGACATAATCTTACCAACACAATCCCATTTATTGCCCAGTGATATTTTCTTTATCTAAAATCATTATGATAGGAGCTTGTTATGATGTCAAATGCAGGCTCCCTTCAGCTCCTATACAAAAAAAAAAAAAATCTCTCCGCCAACTCTTTCACTGTAGATCATTCAATTGAACGGACTACTATCCTAACAAGTAAAAGAAAAAAAAAGATCAAAAGGGGATACGTGTGTCACAGAATGCTTCAGCATCTTTCAATGCATGTCTCTTTGTTATCTACTTTTGTCACTATTTTAGCTTTCCTTTATTGCTTTATTGACCTTTTTCTTATTCTTTTCTTTGTTCTTTAACTGGAATAAGAAAAAGATAATATATTAGAAAAAGTGAGACCTATGAATGAAGAAGGAAGAGACCCAACTTGAACCTTTTACCTTCTAATATAATAAAGATGATCCTACGTGAGACCTATGAATGAAAAAGAGACCCAAATTGAACCTTTTACCTTCTAATATAATAAAGATGATCCTACGTCAAGGAGTCAACAGTCAACATGAAGTGAGTGGTAATCCTATTGGACAAGGAACGGTTTTCTCTTGTCACTTTGTGCATTCCATCTTAAGCAAGCACAGCAAGAAACAATAGAAATACTTTCTAGTTAGGTTTTATCATGACTAAGGGACTACATGCCATCCAAGTTCTCTCACAGCTCTGATCACCCTTAAAAATGAAATAATGAAACGTAGGTTCTTCCATCAATGTGACCGCCTTACCAATAGTTGAAACTCAATGGTGAGAATATTTTGGCTATTCTCCAAATAATGCACAAAAACGTATAGTCACAATAAATACATTTATGAAAGCAAGGCTTACCAGTTACGCCTTCAAGAGAAAATATTGTCAAGTGCTAAATGAACCAGATTCGACATCAGAACCACCAACATGACAAACATGAAGGCACCAAATTCTCTCAGCAACATCACCTGCAAGTGTTGAACATAAATCAGGCTTTGAGAGTACATAGTATACTCCAAACAGAAGAGATGTTCAGGCTAACATGAAATAACCTAATGAGAAGACAAATAGCAGAAACAACCAAATTTTATTACATGGTCTCTGAAAACCCATATATCCATAGAGAAATTATACAATGCCTGGAAAGATATCACCTAGTAGTTCACCGGCAAAACTCTTTCACTTAGTGATCTCATATTAAATGATGTCACGGACAAATCAGCCTTAATAGAAAGCTGCTGATAGGTCCAGCTTCTAAAGCAGTATTAGATAAGGGTATTAATTTTATCCTAATGGCAGAAAACAACTGAGAAACTCCAGACCTAGAAGGCAAGTAATGTTACCTACATCTAGGTGTAACTGAAACAGGAAAGGTTATTTATGCCTGAAGACTTTTATCTATTTAAGTTGAATATAACAACAATAAAAATTTGATTTCCAATCCTTCCAGAGTTCGTTTCAGAAATAATAGAAATTGTTCCCTCAGGTCTAACAATAAAACTTGAACTTAGTAAAATTCCTGGCTTCATGAAAGACATTAACTAAATGCTATGCAGAAAGGCCTTCGAGAAGTAGATAAAATAGTCTGTGAAACATTTCAGTTCATAGTTTTCCAAAATGTGGTCATAGTCAATCAATGTATACATAACATTAATACAGAATGAGAGAAAGGAAGATAGGAAGAAATCATAGCAAACCCACATTCTCTATACTTCTTCCTTTCCTTAGTACTACTATCGGATCTGCGTAAAAGAAAAGAGCAAGGAAGAATAAACAGCAGAATAAAGCTCTTAGCCAAGATAAGAAGCTGAAGTATAAGAAATTCAATATTCGAAACACTGATCATTATTACCAACAGAAGCATGTGACATGAAAGTGTACCTAGTTAATGAAAAGTCTCCTGTAACTTGACTGTCAAGCTCTGTCAGATATTTTCTGAACAAATTTGACCTGCATTAATTAAACCAGCTATTCATTGATAAACTCCAAAAAAAATAAAGTCTGTAAGCTGACTGGTGTAAAAGGATTGATCACTTCACTGTGAGAAATCTCAACAGACAACAGGATATGAATCTCATACCAGGAAGGAATTGCAAATGCTGCTAGGACTGGAGATAGTTCCCACAAGAGATATAGCCGATTGTGTAAGAAAACTTCAAGGTACTCAATAATTCCTTTTTCCTATTACAACAAAAAGAGAAAAAAAAAGAAAAAAGTAAAGGACTATAAACCATCCACAAAGAGAACAACAATGTAAGAATGTTCATAACGTGGAAAATTGACAAAAGAATGCAAACTGAATAGAAATGCTTACTTTCCGTACAGTTTAACACAAGAGAGAGAGTCTAAGATCTAGAGTGAAATTTAGATACAGTGCATGTTAGGGTAACAAGTTGAATATCTTGAGGTGAATGCTCACATTCTGGCCTGGTTTTGGAATTTTGCAGATGCTACTTGTACAGGTTATAATTTCCGCAGGATATATATAAGAAAACTTAAAATATAAAGTGAATAAATCAAAAAGAATATAAAAACTTTGCTCAAAAAGTGATTTAAAGAGGTACAGTGTACATCTATCTGGTAATGTGTGACATGAAGACGAACACGACAAACAAGTAAACCTCACCTTGGTGTGTACACAATGATTGTTCCAAGTATAGTTGGATACATCATAGATTTGCTTTTTTGCACAATATAAATTAGACGTTACAATTTCATTCTTCTCAAATGAATTTTATGTCTTCTAACTAAACACAATCATGTCCAAGACATTAGACTTAGTTTTCCTGCCATAGTGATCTATGTACATTAAGAAGTAACAAGCAAAAAATTCAGGTAATAGACAATGTAAAGAAACGACATGGCCCAGTTTCAACTTAATGGGGACATGACCTAGATAGGAGGGGTGGAGGACACAAATCAAGGTAGAAGGTTAGAAGGTCACAGTGGTCTTGATATCCGTACATATTAGTAGTCATAGTATTGCTCTTGTAGTTTCTTGTCCTTCTATTTCTGTTACAATCACTTGTTACTTGTAGTTTATGTTGTTGGTACCATCTGTTGATTTTTCTATTATTTGTACTTCCGCTATTTTTCCTATGACTGCTTTGGACTATTTTTCCTTGAGCCAAGGGTTTATTAGAAACAGTCTCTCTCTACCACTGAGGTAGAGGTAAGGTCTGTGTGCACCCTACCTTCTCATACCTTATATGGTGGGACTACACTGGATATGTTGTTGTAGACAATGTAAAAAAAATGGACATTCAACACAACTCAACCCCAAAAGCTAGCTCACGAGGTGAGGATTATCCAGCACCATTTAGGAAACAACTCGTTTCTTCAATCAATGTGAAAATCTAACACCTCCCCACCCCCGATCAGGAATGAACATCTAGAGCATGGATAATATAACAAACAAATCCACATTGGGTAAATCAAGAAATAGGAATGGGTATGGCTCTACAATATAAGGAAAATAGAGTTTGAGCCTAACTCAATCCTAAAGCCTAGGTCATGAGGTGATGACTGCCTAAAACCATATAAGGAAACAACATATTTCCTCAAGAAATGTGGGATAATCTAAATGGCAAGCCAGGCTCGAACCTGTGACTTATAGGTCACACAGAGACAATTTTACCGTTGCTCCAAGGCTCCCCTTCCGATGTGGGACAATCTAACAAACAAAATAAATTATTATTTTAAAACATAAAACGATCTAACCTATATCTAGATGACTAGATCCATACAGGCATGTAATCCACGTATGACGAACAAATAATACTTCAATTTCAGTTAAACCATTGCAATTTTATTTTCATAGGCTTGACATGCAGCTCTTCCTACTAGACAATGAAGGGATTTCATTCCAAAAAAATGATTACCTTTGAGTTGCTGGTTTCCTCCCTACAATCTCTCTGTACCGAGCTATGCACCTCATTGTATAGCCTCAAAGTGGTGACAAACTCATAAGAGGTCAACATCAAACGGTCAATCAGAAAACTCCATCTATCCACTACACATGCTAGTAACGCGAGCTCCTGCAGAAGATGGGTTTCAACAAGGAAAATTAGTCATATATTTGTATAAATACTTCTCTCAAAGAAGATCTAGCTGCATAACAAGAAATTCCATACTCTGAATAGACTATTAGTTAGTTGCTTTAGGACTGCAATGGCTATTTCTAAGTTTCCTGTATTTCTTTAGGACTGCAGTGTCTATTTCTAAGTTTCCTGTATTTCTTTTTTCAGTTATTTTCGGGGTAGTTACCATGGTTAGCACCATGACTTAAAAATAGGACCATGATCTATTTCAGTTTCTTTAATTGTATGTTTATGTATTTTTGGTTCTTTTTACAGAAATACAACTCTCTGCATAAGCTTTTCTCTTGGTCATCTTCACATTTACATTGTATTCTCCTGCTTTCCTTTCTGTAGCAAACTAGATATTGTCTTCATTGTGTTATCAGTCATCAGTCTTATTAAAACTAGCAGTCGGTATCAGAGCTTTCATCTTAAGGGATCTGTGATCGAGTTGGAGAAGCCATGGATGCTGAAGCAAGTTTCTCACCAATTGCTCCGCCGGTCTTTGATGGAGATAATTATCAGATTTGGGAAGTATGAATGGAGATGTACTTGGATGCTTTGGATCTCTGGGAAGCTGTGGAAGAGGAATTACGATATTCCAGCCCTACCAAATAATCCTACCATTGCTCAGATTAAAGCACACAAGGAAAAGAAGACAAAGAAATCGAAGGCCAAGGCATGTTTATTTGCTGCTGTATCGTCAACAATTTTCACGCGAATGATGTCTCTGAAAACTGCTAAAGAAGTATGGGATTATCTCAAGGAAGAGTATTCTGGAGATGAGAAAATAAAAGGTATGCAAGTTTTAAACTTAATTAGGGAGTTTGAATTGCAAAAAATGAAGGAATCTGAAACAGTGAAGGAATATTCAGATAGACTTCTAAATATTGCAAATAAGGTGAGGCTACTCGGCTCTACATTTTCAGACTCGAGAATTGTTGAGAAGATCCTTGTAACAGTTCCTGAAAGGTATGAAGCAACAATTACAACCTTAGAAAATACTAAGGATTTGTCAAAGATTAGTTTGACAAACGCACTCCTATGAACGTGGAAAATATATCGGATTCAATTGGTCGATTCGAATTGGAATTGTCAAGTCATCCATAACTATTTAGTCAAAACAAGAATTCATTTTGGTCGAACCGCCTAGTTTGCTTTGTTTATTGGTTTATTGTAGGGCATATCTCATTGCAAGATTCATCGACTGGAATCCGATTTTATTTCCATTATACTTATTTCCATTTTATTTAGTTAGTAGAACCTTCTAACTATATACTTCGACAAATTCTCCTGTTTCTCTTGTTTTTTTCTCTAAAGACGGGGAATTCGAAATTAATTACTTATCTTGTTTCTTCTTTAATTAGAAATTCTTTAAAGATTTCTATTTATTTCTATAAATAGAATCAGGAGGTCTTTATTTTCATTTTTTTCTTAGTGATTTAGAATAGAACAAGTAATCAAATAGAAGAGAATGTATAGGAATTGCCATCTCAAGATTTAGAAGATCTTGTGTTGGTATATTCCTTTTATTATTATTTAATTATTATTTATTATTTCATTATTATTTAATAATAGTATTAGGATTCGAATCCAGGTGGAGGGGTTTTTCTTGGTTGAATACAGAAAAAGAAGACTACATTTTTTTGTTGTGCTTCGCTAGGTCGAGGTAAGTAAGGTATACGAAGGAAAAGCCTATTTGACAATGAAAGTGACCAAAGACAGGTTAACAAAATTCAGAAGAAGAAAAAGAATCAAGCAGTGTGTGAAGGAGAAACATCAGCCAACAACAAAAGTAAGGGAGGAAGCGCGAAGAACAGTTATCCCCCTTGTCATCATTGTGGAAGAAAAGGCCATCCACCATTCAAGTGCTGGAGGAGACCTGATGCTAAATGCAAGAAATGCAATAAGCTTGGACACGAAGCAGTGATTTGCAAGAATAAGACCCCGCAGGAGGAAGGAAATGCTCAAGTTGCTGATCAAGAAGAAGAGGATCATCTTTTTGTTGCAACATGCTTTTCAAGTAAGAGCTCAACAGATTCTTGGTTAATTGACAGTGGTTGCACTAACCACATGACTCATGACAAGAGTTTATTCAAGGAGTTGAAGCCCACTGAAATTTCCAAGGTTCGAATAGGAAATGGAGATCACCTTCCTGTCAAAGGAATTGGAACCATAGCTATCAAGACGAGCACGGGCACAAAGAAAATTTCAGAGGCTCTTTATGTTCCTGAAATTGATCAGAATTTGCTAAGCGTAGGACATCTGATGGAAAAAGGATTCAGAGTTTTCTTCGAAGATCATCACTGTCAAATCAGTGACTCTACTGGAAATGAAATTTTCAGGGTGAAGATGAGAGGAAGGAATTTTTCCTTTGATCCAACAGAGAAAGAGCAACTAGCTTATTCTATGAAGGCAAGTGTAACAGAAACCTGGCACAAGAGACTTGGCCATTGTCACCTACAAGCACTATTGTTGCTGAAGAAGGAAGATATGACAAGGGGACTACCAACTCTAGTTGATCACTTACCAAGTTGTCAAGCTTGTCAATTTGGTAATCAAAATAGGAAGTCATTTCCTAAAGCAACATGGCGGACTTCTCAAAGGTTGCAACTGATTCACACAGATGTTGCAGGACCTCAAAGAACACCATCCCTTAATGGTAGTCTATACTATGTTATATTCATTGACGATTATACAAGATTCTGCTGGATATTTTTTATGAAATATAAATCAGAAGTGGCTGGAATTTTCTTGAAGTTCAAGAAGATGGTGGAAAATCAAAGTGGTTGCAGAATCCAATCTCTGCGATCTGACAATGGAAAAGAGTATAATTCTGAAGAATTTAACAAATTTTGTGAGGAAGCGGGTATTACTCATCAGCTTACTGCTCCATATACTCCGCAACAAAATGGAGTTAGTGAAAGGAGAAACAGATATATAAAGGAGATGTCGCGGTGCATGTTGCATGAAAAAGAGTTGCCGAAAAGTTTTTGGGCTGAGGCAGCTAATACGGCAGTATTTCTCCAAAATCGGCTTCCTACTAAGGCATTGCTGAATAAAACTTCATTCGAGGCTTGGAATGGATACAAACCATCACTAAGCTTCATTAAAGTATTTGGTTGTGTTTGTTTCTTCCATGTGCCACAGATTAAAAGAGACAAACTTGACAAGAAGGCACTTCCTGGAATATTTGTGGGTTATAGCTCATCCTCCAAGGCCTACAAAGTATATAATCCACAAACAGGGAAGATGATTGTCAGTAGAGATGTGCACTTTGCTGAGGAAGAGAAATGGGACTGGAAGGACAATCAACTTTCAGTCAAAGCTTCAGAGGAGCAGGCATCTGATCACTGGAAAAATGAGTTGGTGGATGATCTTCCAATTAGAGGTACAAGACTACTCTCTAACATCTACCAACAAAGTAATGTCGCAGTTTGTGAGCCTGCAGGGCACGATGAAGCACTTCAAGATAAAAAATGGAAAAACGCCATGGAGCAGGAGATGCTAATGATCAAGAAAAGCAAAACTTGGGAGTTAGTTGACTGACCGAAAGATAGGAAGGTCATTGGAGTAAAATGGGTGTTTAGAACCAAGCTCAATTCTGATGGTTCTATCAATAAATACAAGGCTAGGCTTGTTGTCAAGGGATATGCCCAAATATTTGGTGTTGATTACTCGGACACCTTTGCTCCAGTAGCCCGATTGGATACCATTAGGTTGTTGCTAGTAATAGCAGCACAAAAGGGCTGGAAAGTGTTCCAGCTAGATGTGAAATCTGCTTTTTTAAATGGTGTACTATTGGAAGAAATCTATGTAGAGCTGCCCGAGGGTTTCTCTGAGCAAGGAAAAGAAGAAAAAGTATGTCTGCTTAAAAAGGCTCTTTATGGCTTAAAACAAGTTCCAAGAGCTTGGTATAGCAGGATTGATGATCACTTGTTGAGTTTGGGGTTTGTACGAAGTGTATCTGAAGTTACTCTTTATGTCAAACATAAAGAAATTGATCTTCTCATTGTTTCCCTTTATGTTGATGATCTCTTGGTGACAGGAAACAATGTGTGGCTGGTTGAAGAGTTTAAGAAGGAAATGATGCAAGTTTTTGAAATGACAGACTTGGGACTAATGACATACTTTCTGGAAATGGAAATCAAGCAAGGCAGTGATGAAATTTTTATCTGTCAAAAGAAGTATGCTGGAGAGATACTTAAGAAATTCCATATGGAAAATTGCAAGGCAACAACCACACCAATGAATCCAAAGGAGAAGTTAAGCAAAGAGGATGGAACTGATCAAATTGATGAAGGAAATTTCAGAAGCTTGATTGGATGTTTGATGTATCTCACTGCTACAAGGCCTGATATTCTATTTGCTGTAAGTCTTTTATCTAGATTTATGCATTGTGCTACTGAAATGCATTTGAGAGCAGCAAAAAGAATTATAAGATACATTAAAGGTACTGTTGAATATGGTGTCAAATTCAAGAAGTGTGAGACTTTCAAGTTGTATGGATTCTCAGACAGTGATTGGGCTGGATCCATTGACGAAATGAAAAGTACATCAGGATATTGTTTCAGTCTGGGATCAGGGATTTTCTCTTGATGTTCAAAAAAACAGGAAACTGTGGCACAATCCACGGCAGAGGCTGAATTCATTGCTGCAACTGCAGCTGTAAATCAATCCTTATGGCTGAGAAAAATACTTTCTGATTTGCATATGGACCAAAAAGTTAATACTGAAGTTCATGTTAATAATCAAGCTGCAATAGCCATTTCGCATAATCCGGTGTTCTATGGGAAGACTAAACACTTCAACATCAAGCTTTTTTCTTGAGGGATGTGCAGAAAAAAGGAGAAGTGATTCTTGTTTATTGCAACTCTGAAGATCAGCTAGCAGATGTATTTACGAAATCCCTTCCTGTCAGCAAGTTCGGGTTCCTAAGGCAACAACTTGAAATTTGCAGCTCCTAATGCAAGGAGGAGTATTAGTTAGTTGCTTTAGGACTGCAGTGTCTATTTCTAAGTTTCCTGTATTTCTTTTTGCAGTTATTTTAGGGGTAGTTACCATGGTTAGCACCATGACTTAAAAATAGGACCATGATCTATTTCAGTTTCTTTAATTGTATGTTTATGTATTTTTGGTTCTTTTTACAGAAATACAACTCTCTGCATAAGCTTTTCTCTTAGTCATCTTCACATTTAACTTCCTTGTATTCTCCTGCTTTCCTTTCTGTAGCAAACTAGATATTGTCTTCATTGTGTTATCTGTCATCAGTCTTATTAAAACTAACATAGACAAACCAATCAACTTAATTACCTTTTAAGAAAATTTGCAGCAGCAATTAGTGTTACAATTCAATTGGAATTGCTTATTTTTTAGATATCAAAGAAAACAATCCCATGAACCACAATAGGTTTTTACAGAACAGCACTTGAATAACAGATGTCCATGCATATATTTGAAAGAACAAAACGAACTGGTGCAAATTCAACAGTCTTCTACATTAAGGTAATTGTGGTTTAGCCGTACAGTTTGACATAGCTTATAAGTTATAACAATCAATTACGCCACAATCCTAAACCAGTTCGGATTACGAATTTTGTATATCTACTCCACTCTATTTACTCCGAATTAACATCACTATTAGCTAATTTGTCTTTGATGCGAATTGAGATTCTACAATCTAACCATTATTCCTACACCAGCATCCAAGTCTCTAACAAAAATATTGAAGAAACTCCTAACAAACAGCACCAACTACTTAGTATCACTTTAATTAATATATACATTTTTCCTATTATGTAAGAATTTGTAATCTTTGAAATAATTTCACGCCATGTGATTTTAGGTTAAGAATAGCTCATGAACCGAGAAAAGAATAAGCAAAAAGTCCTAGAACAACCACTCCTTCATCTCAATTAGCATCTCAAATTCCAATGTTATGCCTTAAGCAACTCGGCCATCTCTCCTATATAATGATTATGACCCAAAAACCGAGTAAATAGCAAGTCAGTCATAACAGTTATTGATTGGATAGGTGCGACCAATCTATTCTAACTAGAAAAATCAAAACTTTGCATTCCCGTTTGATTTTTTTGAATACCCTCCTGTTAGTGGGACATAGCAGGTACTGGGTGGAATAGTCAAAGTGAGCAAGCTGCCCGGACACCACCGTCACGAAAATTAAAAATAAAAACATCTCCAGAAAAGAAGATTTGAAGCAGAGAATCTTTGAGAAAGATATATAAAGTGACTTACAACTATTTCACACAAACTATCTTCGAGTTGAGATGATATATCTATCCGCTGAAACACTTGAATCCATTGGCTCTTCGGGGCAGAAAACACCAGGCTGGCACCTGAGACCAGTCTAATAGTTCTCTTGTCAAGCAAATATGAGAGGCATTTTGATTTCCAATAATTCCAGACAGCCAAACCAATTGGTTTTTCTTCAGTCCTTGGGGCATTGACAAGAAAAGACTTTATTTTTTACTGCATTACAAATGAGGTCCGTATATACTTAACTACTCATGTAAGAATGAAGGAAAAATATGTATACATGATCAATACAAGAAATCATATTCTGTCACAACAGCAGTAATCAAGCTTATTAAATACTTTTGCCACCCCACCATTTACAGCTTAGGAGGTTTTAGCTTAAGCCTCTCCCTCCAATTATACTGAAGCAGCATTAGAATGAGATCATGTAAGAAGTCATGAAATATTGATAGACAGCTTACTGAATATAAATCATCATTTACGAGTTACTATTCCAAAGGTACTGCAATGCAAATGCCAGTGGACTAAGCAATCAGTATTTTTTGGCCATGAGGGTCAGAGGTGCTATGGTGATTTTTCTTCATATGGGATTCAGCTTGTTTATACGATGCAAGCAATATGCTCCTTTTCATGACACATGGTTTCTTTCTTTTCATGACAAGTGGTATGGTGCATCATGGTAATGGTTTCTTATGCTACTTTAAAGGCTTTGAGGTTCGAAAATCGTTATATTTTAAGAAAGAAACCCCAAACAAGACAAAAATCAAGACAAGAAACTACTTCAACCCTTCCATGATGCAGAAGAAGTTCACACATTCTGCTTTTAATTTCTTTGAAAGACACATATGCTTATAGAATTCATGAAGTTGACACACTAAACGCCGACCTGAAAATGGTCTTTGAGTTAGTTAAATAGACAGATTGTCTGCATCCTTTACGTGAAATGTCCAAATAACACAGACTCAATAAAAATAAAGAACTACTCCAGCGCATGTCATGATGAAGAAGAATCTACGACGTTTGGCTATTAAGTTATTTTGGAAGACGCATATGCTAATGTAATTCATAAAGCTGATAAACTTTTTCTTTTCATATAAGTGAGTTCATAAAGCTGATACACTACATGCAGAAAATGGCCTTCGTGTTTGTTAAATAGACAGAGTGTCTACATCACTTACATGAAATTTGTTGTCTGCATCATTTTTACATCTAAAGCATTGTCATCCTCCCTCACATACAGATCTCTTAAGCCACTAGACAAAATGTTCAGCCCTGTCTCTGCTGCAGATATCAATGAAACTGATAGTTGCCTCCTTTCAAGCGCTTGTGCAGTGAAGAGAGAAAACTCACATCTGATTGAATCATCAGCTTGTTCACTTGGAGAAGAGTTTGGCAATGAGTTTAGAGATTCCTCCCTTGGAAATTTGTTCTCATTAGGAATAGCGTTTTTAGATGTATTACACATCAAAGTTTCAAAAATGTCATTGAGAGATCTACTATCTGTCTTCTGGTGCATGTGATAATCCATCTCAACACTTGCATTCAGTAAAGCTTTCAAGTGTTCATCTCTCAGTGGAAAGACACTGATGAGATGTTCTAGCATAAATTCACTCGCTTTGCTAAGGACCTTCGAGGAAATATGGGCTAGACCCTGTTCAAAATATTAACAGAAGGGAGCCTTCCCTCTTTTCAGAATTATTTAATTTGCAATAGTAAACAATAGAAACCGGTAGAAGTTAGAAATATAAAAAGCATAAAAAACAAGCTAATGGAGTATAATATATCAGGGACATGTAACAACAAATACACTACCTGAGGGAAATATGGATTAGAGTTTATTTCACATAAAGCTGCATCAAGCTCCTCCAAAGAGTCTTTATAGTCATCTGAGCTACTTAAGTCCCTCATCACCTGTGCAGAATTAGCCACAGTTTTATCTACAAAATGTTTTCCAGGGAGGGTTCATGGAAGTAAAGAAGATATAGATATCTCAATAGACAACCTAACGCATCAAGGTTTTCCACTAAAGTAGCAAAATGAAGCAATCGTGAGTCATGACCGAGGATCAAACACAAGCACAAAAAAAAAACACATCTATAATTTTCAGGTACACAAACTGCAAGTGACTAACTTTCATCTGAGCTTCCTCTAAGATACCTGAGGATCCACTTCACTGCTTTCCAATGTTTTTTTCCCGGATTGTCGAGAAATCTGCTGACAACACCAACTGCATGAGAAATATCAGGTCTAGTGCATACCATTGCATACATTAGACTTCCGACAACGGAGGAATATGAAACTTTGGCCATGCTCTCTTTTTCCTCCCTAATTGTAGGACACATCTTCTTGCTCAACTTCATATGACTAGCAAGAGGTACTAACAGGCTTAACATTCTTCATATTGAAGCGCTCTAGTACACGTTCAATGTACTTCTTCTGGGACAAATAAATCTTCCTTTCATCTCTGAGACGAGTAATTCTCATGCCCAAAATTTGCTTGGCATGACCCAAGTCTTTCATAGCAAAAGACTTACACAACTCTTTTTTCAACTCGTCAATCTTGAAAGTATTCTTGCCCACAATCAACATATCATCCACATACAGCAAAAGGATGATAATCGTCAGAAAATTTTTGTACAAATACACAATGATCTAATAAAGTCTTCTTATAGCCTTGCTCCCCCATAACAGATTCAAACTTCTTGTACCACTGTCTAAGAGCTTGTTTTAGGCCATAGAGACTCTTTCTGAGTTTGCACACAAAATTTTCTTTACCATCTACTTTGAAGCCCTCAGATTGTTCCATATTTTATCTCTTCTTCTAGGTCACCGTGAAGGAAAGCCGTCTTCACATCCATCTGCTCAATCTCTAAATTAAGACTAGCAACCAAACTTAGGACTGTACGAATCGAGGACATTTTCACAACAGGAGAAAATATTTCGTCAAAGTCAATACCCTTCCTTTGACCAAATCCCTTAACAACCAATCTAGCTTTGTACCTGGGCTTCAAGTTGTGTTCTTCAACTTTAACTTTAAACACCCACTTGTTCTTCAAAGCTCTCATGCCCTTGGGGAATTTTACCAACTCACAAGTGTGGTTCTCATGTAGAGACTTCATCTCATCTTGCATGGCTTCAATCCTTGGATCTTTGTGCTCATCTTGCATGGCCTCCTCATAACATTCAAGTTCTCCCCCGTCAGTGAGTAACACATATTCATTGGGTGAATAACGAGAGGAAGGAACCCGCTGTCTTGTGGACCTCCTAAGCGGAATATTTGATTCGTCACAACTTCATGAGCAGGAGGATCATCAATAACAATATCATTGTTTTTACCAACATCAGCATGTTGATTCGATACATGATTGTGGGCGTCACCATGATATCAAGCCCAACAACATCATGCATACTTGTGTGAGGAACTTCATCTAGATGAACTATGCTATCAAAATTTGAAGATTCTAGCTTCTCCGCTTTTTAATGTCTTCAATTGTTTGATTCTCCATGAAAATAATATCACGGCTTCTCACGAGTTTCTTCTCAATTAGATCATATAGCCTGTAACCAAATTCATCAACGCCATATCCTATGAAGATGCACTGCCTTGTCTTGGCATCTAACTTTGATCTCTCATCTTTCGGCACATGTACAAAAGTTTTGCAATTAAATACTCTCAAATGATCATAGGAAACATCCTCTCCATACCAAACACTATTTGGTACATCACTTTGCAAAGCAACAGCAGAAGATAGATTAATAACATGTGCAGCGGTCAATAACGCCTCACCACAACCCAGCTTGACTCATCACAAGCAATATTTATCATATCCGCATCAAGGACAGTAACAAGATCTTCGATGGTGACGGTGGCTAGACAACTTTCATTGCCATCTTCTTTAGTTTCCTCTTTGTTTTTGTTCTCCCTTTTCAACTTCCTGCAGAACCTCTTTGTGTGATCTTTCATGCCACAATGATAGCACTCAATATCCTTAAGTCTGCCTCTGGACTTGCTCCTATTTTGTTCTCTATTCTGAGAACCACGAGTTTTATTTCTCCCCCTGGAGCCAATTATCAGGACATTCGACGAAGAAGAACCTTAAGTTTTTCTTCTCATCTGTTCGTTCAAGACACTACTCTTGGCAGAATCCTTAGATATCACACCATCCGGAGCAGAATTTGACAATGAAGTTCTAAATGTTTCCCAAGAGTGGTAGGGAACCAAGTAGAAGCAAGCCTTGAATTTCTTCATCAAATTTGATGCCCATAGCAGATAATTGGTTCATGATCCCCTGAAAATTATTCAGATGGTCTGTCATCGGAGAACCATCATGATACTTTAAACTCAACATCTGTTGTATTAAGAACAGTTTGTTGTTGTCAGTCTTCTGAGCATACAAACTTTCAAGATGCTCTCATAGGGTTCGAGCATGTGTCTCCCCAGAAATATGGCTCAACACATTATAGTCAACCCATTGTCTAATGAATCCACAAACCTGTTTGTACAACAGATTCCACTCTTTATTTGTTTTATTATCAGGCTTTATAGTGGTAAGGACTGGATTGTAAAAATTCTTGACATAAAGCAGATCTTCCATTTTCCTCTTCCAAATGGCATAATTAACACCATTCAAAGTAACCATTCTACTTGTGTTGGTTTCCATTGTTTATCCCCAAAAAATATAGTTATTGCAAACCAAAGTAAATCTTTTCTGATGTGGAAGTTTAGACTGTGCTGCAACCACAGAGCATACTCAGATAAAACCTTGGCTCTGATACTAGTTTGTTGGGAAAACGCGGACCAACACAACAATATATATGGTCAAATTTTAGAAATAAAATGGGAAAATAATGACACCAAGAATTTTACGTGGAAACCCTTTTAAATAAGGGAAAAATCACAGGTCAAGAGAAGCAACTGATATCACTATAGTAAGGAATTTTACACTGTGTAGTCACGAATACAATACTCAAAGTGACTACTACACACTCAAAAGGAATAACACTCTTTTGATTTTCACCTTACTAAAATATCGCTCACACTCTATTTTTCTTCACAGACTATTTTTCTTATATAGTCTATGGAAAAAATATACTTTGCTCTCAAAATATATTTTTTTTCTCTAACTTGGTATATTTTTTTAAATGAGCAAGGGCTCTCTATTTATAGGAGAAATCTACTCCTAATGATGTCACCAGTGACAAGATAAAAAAAACACCAAGGTTTCAACCTTTGCAACTATGCAAATTTCTTGGTAAGATTTTAGTTGAAAAAAGAAATGGTGAGCTTTGGTTTTTTGCAGCATTTGTTGACTTTAACAATAAACAACAAACATTTCAATCTTTACTGCATTTCAATTTTCCTTATGTTTATCTATAACGGGTATGGACCCCACAAATCTCCCCCTCTAGACCCATTCACCGGAGGAAGGCAACTTTATTTTATTCAGAGAGAGCTCATACCGACAAGTTCTTTGCATAACTCTAACTTGTCTTTCGGTATCGTCTTGGTCAGCATATCTGTAGGATTTTAACTTGTGTGGATCTTTTTGACGTGAAATGATTCACTCTCCACTTCCTCACGAATCCAATGATATCTGACGTCGATGTGTTTTGTCCTTACATGATACATGGAGTTCTTACTCAAGTCTATTGCACTCTGTCACAGTAGACAATATACTCCATCTGATGCAAACCAAGCTCTTGAAGAAATCGCTTGATCCATATCATCTCATTGCCGGCTTCAGTAGCGGCAATATACTCAGCTTCAGTTGTAGTTAGTGCAACACACTTCTACAACTTCGACTGCCATGATATAGCTCCCCCTGAAAAAGTAAACAAATATCCAGTAGTGGATATTTGTGGGGTCCATACCCATTATAGATAAATATAAGCAAAGTTGAAACGCAGGAAAGGTTGAAATGTTTGTTGCTTATTGTTAAAGTCAACAAATGCTGCAACAAACCAAAGCTCACCATTTCTTTTTTCAACTAAAATCTTACCAAGAAATATGCATAGTTGCAAAGGTTGAAACCTTGGTGTTTTTTTTTTATGTTGTCACTGGTAACATCATTAGGAGTAGATTTCTCCTATAAATAGAGAGCTCTTGCTCATTTAAAAAAATACACCAAGTTAGAGAGAAAAAATATATTTTGAGAGCAAAATGAGGTATTCCATAGACTATATAAGAAAAATAGAGTGTGAGCGATATTTTAATAATGTGAAAATCAAAAGAGTTTATTCCTTTTGAGTGTGTAGTAGTTACTTTGAGTATTGTATTCGTAACTACACAGTGTAAAATGGATACTATAGTGATCAGTTGTTTCTCTTGACCCGTGGTTTTTCCCTACCCGTGGTTTTTCCCTTATTTAAAAGGGTTTCCACGTAAAATTCTCTGTCATTATTTTCCCATTTTATTTCTATCATTTGACCATATATATTGTTGTGTTAGTCCGCGTTTTCCCAACAGATCAAACACAAGCATAAGAAAAAACACATCTATAATTTTTAGGTACACAAACTGCAAGTGACGAACTGTCTCCCACATCTTTCCCAAATCCCAGCTTCAATTGAGACAGTTATACTCGAAGACAAAACAGGTAAGGGAAGATCCAAATGTTATGTTAACTAGTAATGATGACTAATAAGAGAAAAGGAATCAACCAATCAATCAACCAACTGCATCTCAATCCCAAACTAGTTGGGACCAGGGGCAGAGCTAGTAAGAGCTCAGGACGTTCATTGGAACCCCATTCAGCAGAAAATTACACTATTTTATACATAGTTAAAATTATATTTTTTGCATACATACTGTAGATGTTGAACTACTTCTTGCTCCACCACTGGTTGGGACAACTAGTTATCAATTCTGTAACTTAGAACCAACTATGGAATTTTCACAAGGCGGAATTGAAAAGAAAATATAATGAGGGAAGAGGCACTGACATCCTGGAGAAAGAGAGCCCATTGAAGCGCATTTTTGATGTTATGTGAATCCCAGTGAGCAAGACGACCAGATGATTGATACCCAGAAGCAAGAATGACCATATCTATGAACCCTTTCACCATTTTCAGCAAATCTTCCAGAGAAGCATCTGGGTACGACCAATTTGCCATCTTCCAACACACTCTCACACTAGCCCGGGATTTTCCCGCCTTAAAGGAAATTATTCTCTTCTTTTTTCCTAAAATAAATCTAATCTTAGACGTGTTCATTCCCTAAGTAATGTCAATTGCTATTTTTATAATTCTTTAAAAAATTATTTTTATCTTATACGAGTATCTTTTTTATAAAAAAAATATTAAAATATTTTTTGTACTTAAGTTATTTGGAAAGACATCTTTGCAAGATTATTATTTTCTTGTGTTCTAATTGCTACTAGAAGCATGGGCTATGTCAATACTTCATGGGTCTCAAATTAAGTGCCACAAATAAAATTAGAAGAGTGAATCAAATTTGTATATGATTTTAAAATGGTAGTAATTATGATTCATAATTTTTTAACGGAACTTTTAAATCATATATGTTACTTCTTCTATTCCAATTTATCAAGGTTTTTTTTAGAGCGAAATTTCAAGAATCATCCAATTTTTAAAAAAATATTTGAAGTTGTGAATTATTGTATTTTATGACAAATAAATTGAAACTAAAATTTATTTGGCATTACAATTCCAGTGATCCAAAATCTTCAAGGTAAAATACAAAGAGTCAGATAAGACAGCATAATTTTGTAATGGCAAAAGCGAATATGGCGCTGTCCTAATTTTCTTTTTTAAAAATACTTCCTAGCAAAAATATTTGAAAATCTATCGCCAAACACAAACTTAAGCTCTTTGTCTGACTACGTGACAACCCATATTAGGTAGACAGAAAGATAAATTCACATTCAAGCATCCATAGAAGAGAATCGAGCATTCATAGATAAACAATTACAATCACTAAAGAGAAGAAACATATCAAAACTTTATCACCCACTTGGATAAAAGCATTCAAAACCATGGAAATGAGAACCCATTTGATGCCATTGATCATCGCAAAATTTCCTTTATCACCCACTTGGATAAAAGCATTCAAAACCATGGAAATGAGAACCATTTGATGCCATTGATCATCGCAAAATTTCGAGCAAATAATTGTTATCAAGACATAACCCGTTCCTCAGATATCCGAAAACTTAATGACAAACCAACAAAAACAAGAATCATAAACTACTTAGGGGTGCTCCTACTTCTTCTACACAATAGCATTGGCAGCAGATGCAATCCTAGGCCATAGATCAGCACATTCTTTACCAATTGGACCAGTGATGGCAGACCCTACAAAACATAACATCAAAAGAATACGGTTAAGGAAAAGCACAAGACAGGTTCGTATATTTGTATCTTCTAAAGAGGATAGTGACTTCAAAATAGAATAGTAAAAAGTAGATTGAGTTACCTTTCATTTCTCCCTTGGGGTTCACAATCACACCAGCATTATCTGCAGAACGAAAAACAAATGAATAAGAGACAAGTTTTTAACAAGACTTGTGCCACAGAAGAAACTGTCTTCGTGTAGGCTATTCAGTTATTAATAGTGTAAACACAACATAATGGCGCACACAGAAAAACAAAGCAGGCAAGCAATTCACAAAGAAGAGATAGAATTGCGACTAAATAGTAATGATACGATCAGTCAATAAGCCTCTTATTCAAAAAGAACAATTGGCAGCAACGAGAAGAACAACAAAGAAACAAACTCATGACAGAGACACATGAAAAGACCACTCAATCCTGTTCCAGTTAATGCCTTGCGACTATATACTCAAGTCCATCTGATTCAAAATGGAAAAACAGGTAATAACAACTAATGTAGCAACTCAAAAACAACAAAAATTGAAATTTAATTGATGATTAAGATATATAAAGCCACCTCTATGATGGTATAGCTACTTATTTGTTTATAATACTAGCAACTTCAAGTTTCAATTATGACATCATATAATTGTTGTTTTGGCTACTTTTGTACGGTTTCTTGTTATTTGTTAGTATATTATCTCCATTATATCCTTCTTCTTTATACCGGATGTGGATTTCACGGGACTTCAACATACACATTAAACTCTCTATTCAAATTCTTAACAGCATAGAAAAATAGCAAAATTCAGCTAAATACAACTAGAAAAAGCATTACAAAATCAACATTTTGATATCTACCACATCAATTTCAAACTATTTAATATACTATATGATCAAGTGTATTCCAGCCCATTTTCACAAACAAAATAAGAACAAGGATACTTTAAAATATACCTTCAAAGTACATGAAGACACCGTCCTTTCGGCGCCAAGGCTTGCGTTGACGAACAATGACAGCAGGCATGACCTTCTTCCTGAGTTCTGGCTTACCCTTCTTCACAGTAGCCATCACCATATCTCCAACACAAGCTGAAGGCAACCTGTTAAGCCTTCCCTTGATCCCTTTCACGGAAATGATGTACAGGTTCTTAGCACCAGTGTTATCGGCGCAGTTCACCGTCGCCGCCACCGGCAGACCCAGTGACATTCTGAACTTGTTCCCGGCGGAACCTCCTCGTCCTGAAATGTTTCACACATCAAATCGAGATAAATAATTACATGTAATCAGAGAAAGAAGTGGAATAAGGTTGAGTAATACCTCGTTTCGACATCCCGGACGGTGTTGTTCTTCACGATCCCAAAAATCTGAAGAGAAAAATGGAGCTTTGGAGGCGTTAGGGTTTTATATACAGCTAAATCTGTAAAATTGACTAGGGTTTTTTTACTTGGATAACCATGGCAGCCGGTCCAGTACACTCGTTTGGCCCAGTTATACTTGAAAGTTAGGCCTGTCATGTGGCCCAATTCTTTAGGCCTGCTATCTGGTTCTGAGCTTTGAGTTTTTTTTCGAAAAAATGACATAGGTAAGATAAACATGTGTTATGTATTTTCTAAATTACATCACTATGCTATTTTAGAAAATATCTCCTCTCCCTCAAACTCTTGCTCCGCCTCTCTTCTCCCCCCTCTCCCTCTTTCACATCGCTTCTCTTTCGCTTGCCTCTTGACTTTAGTTCTCCCCAATTGATCTCATCCCACTTTCTCTTTTATCTCCCGCTTGATACAAATTGGGGATATTACTTGTACAAAACAATAGAGAGATGGTGGGGACTTCTTTTCTTACTTTTTTATTTTTGATTTCTTACTTAGACTCTTAGCATGCCTGAACGAGGGAGAGATACATTATTGTATCAATCGTATCCTGAAAGAGTATACAATACATGATACAAATGTACAATTTGATACAATTGTATCTGTTGATACGTTTGATACAAAGTGAATACATAACGAAAAGACACAATTATATTTGTTGATATAACTTGATACAATTGTATTAGTTTGATATAATTGTATTTGTTGATACAAACAATTGTATTTATTGATACAACATCTCTCCTCTCTCTTCTAATTTTCACTCGCCTCTTTCTCATAACATTACTTATGAATCATTATTAAGCAAACTATAGCTATGCATTTCTAATTAAGTCTGATAAGTGCGTATGTTCCTAGATGTTTTGATGATCCCCTCACAAGTGCAGGAACCTGGTCCTCTGCAGAGTATGAATACTCGTCCAGTTGTCAAAGTGATGTACAGTTGTAAAAACTGGCCGTGTCAGGAAGTTGGTAAAGCTGCAGAGTACTTCACCAATCAGAAACAGGGAGGTTTCTTGTACATTGGATAATATTTTTTTCATGATATATATTCAACAACAAACAACAATATTACTTATTCATTCAAAAAGGGGAGATACTTTTAAGCTTCAAAACAGCAAGGGACCTGATAGAAGTGCTTCAATTGCTTTCTGTACTAGCTGTAGTGTTGCTTGCCTGTAATAGTTCTTATCTTGTAGGATTCGTTTCACTTGTGAAAGAAACGTTTCAAACTTGTTTGAATCATTGTAAGAACTAGGTTAAGGGTAACTTAAGTTCTTACTCTAAAAGTCTATATTAATCGGTTAGGATTAGTATAGTGGGCAGTGTTGTATCTGCTATGGCTCAACTAAGTGATAGGAGGTATTGCTTAGTGTAGAGCTTAGCAGGCTAATCTCATTTTGTAAACTGGCTTTTACTTTTGCTTGGAGAAGATTAGTGAAAGCAGTTTGAAAAGTCCTGTTGAGAACATGTCGTGATTTTACTCCCTTGAGCAATGAGGTTTCCATGTAAAGTTGTTTGTGCAATCTTTACCTCAATATTTATTTTCTGTATCTTATTGTAACTGTGCTGAGGACCTGGTCCCATTGATCTAAGTGGACGCATACATTCCAACAAGTGGTATTAGAGCTTGACTTTTCATTTTGGTTAACACTTAGAAAAGAAAAGATCCAGAAGGAATGGTTGCCCCACCCAATATGGAGGAAGGTCAGTCTTCTACCAGGCCACCTCGCTTTAATGGTCATTACTATGGATGGTGGAAAAATCGAATGCACGACTACATCAACGTTGAGGATACTGAGTTGTGGGACATTATTCTTGATGGACCATATATTCCTACAAAGGAGGTGAAGGATGGAGAGCTCACCACTACTGCTGTCAAATCCAGAAAAGAGTACAATAAAGCAGATAGGAAGAAGATAGAAAAGAACTACAAAGCAAAGAAGATTCTGGTGTGTGGAATTGGAGCAAAGGAGTACAACATAATTTCTGCTTGTGAGACTGCCAAGGAGATATGGGACTGCCTTCAAACAACTCATGAAGGAACTCAACGAGTGAAAGAGTCTAAGGTTGATATGTTCACCACTCAGTATGAAAATTTCACTATGAAGAAAGGGGAAACCATCTTTGAGATGAACTCAAGATTCACCTCTATCACCAACGAGCTGAGAGGTTTGGGTAAGCCTATTCCTGTCTGTAAGCAAATTCGCAAGATCCTCAAGGTGCTTCCAAAATCTTGGGAAAGCAAGGTGGATGCCATAACATAAGCCAAAGATCTAATGACGCTTTCCATGGATGAACTGATTGGGAATCTTCAGACCTACGAGATGAACAAGAAACATGGGACGACTGTGAAAGAAGGAAAGAAGGAGAAGTCCATTGCTCTGAAAACATCTCAAAGTGAGGTGATTGAAGAGGAGGATGATATGGCATATGTCACTAGAAGATTTCAGAAGATCTTAAAGAAGCGTGGAGGCTTCCAAAAGAAAACCCCTGCTAGCAGAACTGCTACTGCAAATGATTTTTGCCATAAGTGTGGCAAGCCTGGTCACTTCATAAGGGACTGCCCCAGTTAAAAGCAGGAAACTCATGACACCAGACCTCGCAAGAGGGACCTGGTCCCAGACCATGCTCGAAGGAAGGCATATGCTGATCAGTTGGTGAGAAAAGCCTTTGCTGTGTAGGGAAATGACTTAAGTGAATCAGAAAAAGATGTAGAAAGTCATGAGGATGTTTCAATGATGGCCATTGAAGATGATGAAAGCATTTTCAACTCTATTTTCTCCTTGATGGCAAATTTCGATGATGAAGAGGATTCAGAAGAGGTAACTCTTTTTAATCTTAAGGATGATCTAGATAATCTGCCAATTGAAAACTTGAGGAAACTTGCTGACCTGCTTATTGACTGTGTTGATGAACGAATCACTGAAAACTTAATGTTGAATAAAAAATTAAGTTTGTGTGAGGATAAGAACGTTGCTCTCATGTCTCAAGTTGCTAAAATAAGTGAAAGGATAGGTACTCTAGAGACCAGTAACATAACACCTGAGAAAGACCATGGTACCTCAGTAGGAGGAAAGAGAAAGCTTAGCATTCTTGAGGAAGAACTGGAAGAAAAGCTAAAAAATTTTGAGTCTAAGCTAGTTGCTTCTCTTGAAACAAATTCTCAACTGAGAAAGGATCGAGTAAGGTAAGGAGGAGTTAAGCCACTCCCTAAAATGGACTGATTCCTCTAAGATACTCTCTAATCTGTCCAATCAAAGTTTCAATGGAAAGAAAGGGTTCGGACGCAGACCAATAGAAACCCCCTACAATCCCCCATAGCAAATATGTGTCTGTATCTGACAAGTTTTTGTGCACTCACTGTGGTCGAAATGGTCATTTGAAAGAAAAGAGTGAGAGTCTGAGAAAATCTAAAGAAAGGCATGTGAAATTTGTTAGATCTGAAAGTGATGTTAAAAAGGGACACAAGGGACCTGGTCCCCTTTATCGTTTCAGTAAGAACATCTTGCCTCCCTGGACAGGAAGATTTCTTATCAAGCCTCTTGATAGTTACTGGGAACTCCGTTTGAAGTGGGTTCCTAAATCTAACAAATGATTTCTATGCAGAAGAGAGGAAGGCGTCACTGCTGGTACATGGACAATGGATGCTCAAGGCACATGACTGGAGACATTTCAAACTTCCTCTCTTTGAAAGCACACCAAGGTGGTGGTGTGTCGTTTGGTGGTGGAAAGAAAGGATCTATCCTTGGTATTGGCATAATAGGGAGATCAACTGATAATTCGATAAATAATGTTCACTATGTGGAGGGTTTAAAATACAATCTTTTGAGCACTTCACAAATTTGTGATAAAGGAAATGAAGTCAAGTTCATGGCTGATAAATGTCTGGTTACAAACTGTGCAACCGAGAAAATTGTGATGTCTGGAAAAAGAGTTAAGAATATGTATATTGTTGATCTTGATTCTATTGAAGGGGACAACCTTTCATGCCTGAGTGCTCAAGCTGACGATGCAAATCTTTGGCATCGACGATTAGGTCATGTAAGTTCCTCTTTACTAAACAAGCTTGTTACAGGGGACCTAGTCCGCGGGTTACCAAAGCTGAAGTTTTCAAATGATAAAATATGTCATGCCTGTGCTAAAGGGAAACAAACGAAGTCATCTTTCAAATCCAAGAAAGGAGTCAGTACAACGAGACCTCTAGAGCTGCTTCACATGGCCTTATGTGGACCTATTAGAATCCAAAGCAGAGGAGGTAAGAAATATATTCTTGTCATTGTTGATGATTTTTCCAGGTTTACTTGGAACATGTTTTTGCGGATGAAAGATGAGACAACTAGACAACTGATCACCTTTGCCAAAGCCATTCAAATGAAGATAAATTGCAGGATAGCCAGTATCAGATCTGATCATGGTACATAGTTTAAGAACTCTCAACTTGAAGGGTTTTGTGCAGAGAATGGAATTAATCACAACTTCTCAGCACCAAGAACTCCTCAGCAAAATGGAGTTGTTGAAAGAAAGAATAGAACTCTGGTGGAGATTGCTAGAACTATGCTGATTGATTCAGGACTTGCAATGAATTTCTGGGCTGAAGTAGTTAATACAGCGTGCTATGTGACAAACAGGTGCCTTATCAGATCGGTCATCAAGAAAACATCCTATGAGCTGTTAAATGACAAAAAACCTTCAATTTCGTATCTTAAACCATTTGGGTGCAAATGTTTTGTCTTGAATAATGGAAAGAATGATTTAGGCAAGTTTGATGCTAGGAGTGATGAAGGTGTATTTGTTGGGTCTCTTCTACAAGCAAGGCGTACAAGGTGTTCAACAAAAGAACTCTTTGTGTTGAAGAAAACATCCACGTCAAGTTTGATGAATTAGATACAATAAATGAGAACAATGAGGAATATGAGTTTGGGGAGCTGATGAACAAGCAGCAGGATGATCAGGGTACAAATGAGAATGATGCAGAATGCTCAAGAAGACCTGGTCCCTCTGGTTCATCACAGGAAATAATGTCTCAAAATCTTGAAGAAGATGAAGGTG